ACCATACATACATACATACATACATACATACATACATACATACAGACATACGTCTATGTAGGCTATATTTTGAAGGCCCGCTAGTCAGATGTAATAAACCCAAAAATTTGAAAATTTTGAATTGCAGTTTTTTTTATATCTGTGGTATTGGATGCATACATATATATGCTCATGGAATATTTGGTTGAAATTCAAATTCTAAATGTTGAAAAAAAAAAGAACAAGAAAAGATACGTAAAATAGGTAAAGTTTATGAAAGAATTGAAACCGTTTTTATTTTCCCGTCTGTCCCTAAAGGTTTTCTAGGCTGAAGAAAGACATTTGAACAACTTGCTGACAATAATAAAAATGTGAGGTATCGCGGTGGAATCCAGCGCTAATCAAAAGAATGAAATCGAAAAAACTGGCATTTTTTGGGGCGCCCGTTTGACAATTTTTATTCATTTTTCTTCTTTTAGGTTCAACACCGTTTATGTCTATTTACAAACATATTTCTGTGCGGATTTTACTGGAAAACATTGATTAAGAGCTCAAAAAATGTAAATTTTCTGTTTCTACGGACTCTTAAAAGCAATGGAAGTCACCAATCTTTGGCAGCCATTTTCTCACTAATTTAAGTACTTCTGAAACCAGGCGACCCCCGCCTCCTTCAATCGCAAATGTCTCGACTACTACTTTTGATAGGTGGGTATTCCTTTTCCAATAGGGAGACAAACGACTAGACTTGAAGATGATACCAATAACTCCTGATAGCACTGCGTAGTGCCTCATATATGGTTGCTTTTAAGCACACGAGGACTGTCCCGAGAAAGGTTGTTTTGAGAAAATTGAAGGTAAAATTTTTGCCCCTTGTTCAGTTTCTTTAAAAGACAAGGAGAGTTTTTCTATAACCAAACAAATATACACACCAATGAAACCAAACTTCTCCTACAGGTAGAACAATGCTCACGTTTGGCGTAGGTCAAGATTTATGGAAACCCCCGAAATCTGTGTTAGCCTGCTTGTCCTTTAAAGTGACCATATGTGTGTGTCACGAGGTGGCAGAATCAGGCGCCCATCAATTTTGGGGCATATGAAGTTATTGATATCATCGTAAAGCCTGTTCAATTGCCTTGCTATTGATGTTATAGAAATATCCATCTACCTTGAACAGCAGTCAAGATGTTTGCAACAGAAGCAGGTGGGGGTCATCTGTTGTCAGAGGTAAAATTAGGGAGAAAATGACTGCCCAAGTTATGGGACTCCAAAGCTGTAGTGTATTTGGAAGCTGCAAGTACCAGTATGTTTTATTTTTTTGTGCCTTTGGTCAACAGTTTCCTGTAAAACCCATGCTCGAATCTGTTCTTAAATAGACGTTAACGGTTTTAATCACAAAACAACAAAAAATTGATAAAGTTTGTCCGACAGGCAGAAAAATGTCGGTTTCCTTCATCTCATTATTTTGACGAGTGCCTGAATTCACTACGATGCCACACACATATTACCATTGTGAAACATTTTTTCCAGTAGTGAAGAGTGTTTTCTCTTTCTTCCTCTCAGACACCGTAAGACATGGCGCCGATAGCCCTCCTGGAGCGAACATGTCTTTGCACCCTGGACACACAGTCACACAGCACCAAAAGGATGACAGGCATGCCACTGAGCACATACCAGTACCGGTGTACTGGCAACGTACTGCATGGCACATCAAACATAGCAGTCACAGTACATAATCTTGCTTGTGTAATTATAATGCTTCATCATCATCCGGTGCCTTGCCGACTGGCGTGGACGATCATGGACCTCCACTTCACTCTGTCTTGCGTTGCAGCAATAGTGTCTGTTGTTCTTGCTGCTCCTAGCCATGTTGTCATCTTGTCCAGTATCTTTTCCCTCTGTCTGCCTCTGCCTCTCTTTCCATCAAACTTGCCCTTTTGTTACAATATTCTCCAATGTTTCTTTCATTATAATGCTTACAGATGTCTTTATGGAGAAGAATACTTTTGTTTATTTCTTTGAGAAGAATGGGGGACAGGGATATTATTCTTCAATTTTTTCTAATTTGCTATCAAGAACTGTCATGTTGCGGGTGGTTGGAGGGTGCTAGTGGTGGATCCTACTTCTTTATTTCCCTTTGTTGTTTCTGTCTGTCCATCTTACTTTTTCCCAGCACGACATGACTGTTATTGTGTGGATATACTTCTCTTTTCTCAGACTAACAAACGAAACTGTCATGGTACCAGTACTTTAAGGTGTCTTCTGAAAGTAAAGCTGAATCAGTTTTG